ATCAGTCCTTTAGAACTGCTGCAGCAGTGAGTCTAAGGTGTTTCTGGAAGAACTTTGCTTGTGAGAGCGAGAGAGTTTGCTCGATGAATATGAAGCACAAATAGTTTGTTGTGGGATAGTTTATTGACATAAAAAAGAGATTTGGTTGAATGGTTTCGAGCGATGCCTTGGTGCAATCGTTTCCGATAATAATCAAATACACTTGAGGCTTTTCATTTTATTGAGGCCTAGGACAGTTGATGGCCATGCCACTTTGAATCCTTTATCTTCATGCTGTCGCTACATCTACTCTTTCTTCAAGCCATTTGAGACGCAGCGTCCACTGCTCGAGACGACAGTCTCTATTCCCTTCTCCAGAATTCGCCCTTCGCATTTCTGCTTGCAAAAACAACCGGAGTGGTTCAGCACCGCTGAATGTCGGTGCATAGCTGTGTTCGATATCAGGTACAGAAGTGAAAGAACTTTGATGGAAGTGAACCGCACAGATTGTTGATCGTGATAGGAGGCGGGCAGATTCACAGGCATCACTGAAAAATGCAAATTAGGAGAGATTTGGAAGAAGCAAATAAGGAATTGCTTGATATGGGAAGCTTATAGTTGTGAGCAATTGGTGGTTGTTGAATGGATTCAAGCCGTGGACTACCAAACCCTAGCACAAGCGCAATCCCATCCTCTGGTTGCCTTCTTCCGGATACACACTGCACATCACTCAGAATGCGTCTCCCCGTCAACTGCAATGAGGCTGCCGGTTCTATTTCGAACCACCACCCAAACTTCTACTCATACTGTCCTTTCACTGGAATTGTCATTGCACTGCTTCAGTCCTTAAGCTGTTAATTTGCTCATTGACACAGAAACCTTTTTCAACATGTTCTTCTATTCAGCAAGGCCAAGAGCCCTTTCACTACGACGATCATCAGTCGCTCCGCAGGGTACCGAAACACGATTAGCACGTCAAATTGCAGAGCTTCTTGCACGACAAACTGCCCCTTTGGAGGTAACACAAGATCACCAGGAAAAGAAGAGCGAGAAAGAGAAGGATTATGATAAGTGGGAGCGAAATTTGCCTATTCGGAGTTCATCGCTGGCAAATCCCCCGCAGCGATCAACTTCTGACCCACGACGCGGCAGTAAGCCATCCAGATATTATCATCGAAGACCCACCGTGACCATCCAAAGTGATGGACGCATTATAATTGGTGGGTATACACTTTTTTTATATTTAATTTCTAACTCTTCTGGAATCAGCAAAACAGCGTTTGGCGCCGATTTCGTTCTTGAATGAATTTGCCTTACAAGTCATTTAGAAGGCATTTTGGTGCATGCTTGCCTGACGTGCTGAGAAGGTAACAAGCTAGCTTGTCCTGGGCTTATTTGCGGGCATCCCTTTCATTATGACGATCAACTACTGACGATAAACTGCTACTAGAAATCTGAGAAGTCGAAATGCGGGAGAGTTTTAAGTTTACATGCGTTTTTGCATCTTATGCAAGTGCAAAAACGCGTATTGCCGAGTCGTTGTCTGTGTGTATATGTGTTTTCAGAGGCGAGTGAACTTTGTCACACACTTTCAACTCAGCAGCGGGAAAAGCTGGGGAGAGAGGGGGCGGGAGGG